ATTGCTGGATCGCGCTTCCCCGCTTGTTCGCTGCAGCGCAAGTGAAGCCACCGGGCTTCACTCGCTTGGGATACGATTTGCCGTTTTTGCTAGCCTTTGCTGCGGTTTTCCAGCGTGCTGACGACACGTTTTCTACTCGTTCGTCGTCATTCGCCGAAGAAGTTTTTTGAAGACTCTGTGTATTGTTGAGACTTGCCGTTGTGAACACGTGGAAAATTTTACGAAAGTGCAGTGTCGCAGGAAAAAGGCACAACGCGTCGAAAGGAAGGGCTGGCGGCGTGTTCAAAGCATCCTTGGCACGCCGAAGTGCCGTGTCTCTGTGCCTTCGCACGCTTGGATACCGACCAAGAACCGACGCCGTGTGAATGTGTTCAGCGAGTGCAATGTGCGTGAAGCTGTTCGTGCCTCTGGATCAGCGTCTTTTCCTCTCGCGGTTTAGGAACGAGCTTAATCCAGCGTCCACTAGCGACGGAAGATGGGGAGAAGGTACGTCTTTTTTTCGTCCTTAGACGATTTCCACAATACCGTGCACAACAGCTCCTCATCACTGATCAGTGCTGGCTTATTATCAACCCACTTAATTGCACTTGACGTTTGAGCGCGGCTCGCCTAATTGTAATTGGTCAACAGATTGCACACGACCATATCGGCCGCGCTTCAAAGATTTTCATTCTCGTCGTCTTGTACTTTTGCTTTCGAAAACCCCCCTGGCTCCACAACGTTGCCCTGTTCGTGCTCCCACGGAATCTATTAGAGTAGATTTGGGACATAGCCATGGTTAATATAGTACATAAGAACACGTACAGATCTCCCCCTTTTATTGATAGAAACTCACCGGAACAGCTGGACGATCCAGAACTCCGTGGCCGATATATATAAATGATCTAAAGGCATCTACGCGCGACACACGTTCAGAACTTTGGCGCGGCGTCAATTCTTGACCGGTATCCAAGCGTGCGAAGGCACAAAGATGCATCACTCGGCGTGCCAAGGATGCTTTGAACACGCCGCCAGCCCTTCCTTTCGACGCGTTGTGCCTTTTCCCTGCGACACTGCACTTTCGTAAACTTTTCCACGTGTTCACAACGGCAAGTCTCAACAATACACAGTCTTCAAAAAACTTCTTCGGCGAATGACGACGAACGAGTAGAAAACGTGTCGTCAGCACGCTGGAAAACCGCAGCAAAGGCTAGCAAAAACGGCAAATCGTATCCCAAGCGAGTGAGGCCCGGTGGCTTCACTTGCGGGAGCGGCAAGCGCGACAGCGCGATCCAGCAATTGTCATTGAGATCAGTGTTTCCCACGATGGATGGATGGATGGATGAATACGGCTGAGCCCTTTGGATCGGGCGGTAGCTTACGCCACCTAGCCATTTTGTTTTACCATTTAAGCTTAGAATATTTAAATGTGAAATCTATATTCACTCCGCAGTGCAAAGAAAGTGAGGCTATGAAACCCCCTTGCCATCAGTGATTAAGAAAATACCTAGTTTTCTCTCGATTTCTGCCACCATTCACTTAATCTTTGCTTGGTAATCTCTACAGTCTTGAAATCCACTCTCCCTTCGCTGTCTCTAAAACCCAATGACTTTATTAAATCTATGTTGTCTTCGGTAGGCATAGGGTGAAGCCCTTTACAGTAGAGTATCAAGTGCTCAGCCGTCTCGTCCTCCTCTCCACAAGCAGTGCACACTGTATCAATTTCCTGGTACTTCACTCTGTATGTTCTGGTTCGCAGAACACCCGTTCTTGCCTCAAACAGCAATGAGCTTCCCCTAGAATTGTCATAAATGCTTTCTTTGGCAATAACTCTTTTGTTTAATCTATAGCTTTCCAGAGCAGTCTTTGTCTGCATTCCCTCTAGCCACCGATCTCTTTCTGTGGCCTTAACTTTCTTCTTAACTGAGACTTGCTCTTGCCGCGGTTTTGCGTTCACTGCGCCACCTGGGAGCGGCGTCGCGAACCAGATAGCAGACGGCGTACGGGCGGGTATAGGCCATAGGAAATGCACGTCTGCCATTTTTGTTATCTTTCTAATAATTCGCTACTCCAGAGTTGACGTCTGAAAAAAATAGGCAAAAAACTTTGGAATAAATGACGCTCGTGTGCCCAACTTCAGGTATGTATGTTTGAAATTCGATTTTTGCTAGGCGTGCCAAATGTGAAAGTTTTTACGGCCGCACCCTGTATATTACTATAATTATTTTTATTTTATCGCATAGGGTAGGTCACGAACTAAAAGTTCGCGAGTACATATCAAAATCTCATTTCTTCCGTAACTCTCTTTTCCCAACGAACAGTAAAGGAATGAAATAGTTTGCCGGGTAAAATTGTAACCTTGGAAAGTGCTACAGCTTATTTACTGCTTCTAGGTAAAAAAAAAAAAAAAAAAAAAAAAAAAAAAAGCTTTATGCTATTTTTCAGTTGGGTTTGTTTTGTTATTCATGAACGTTATTATATATGTTTCGAAAAAACCCCGAGACTGGGACAATAAGGGACGGACAAACACAAAGTCTCAACTTTGCGTTGAGACTTTGTGTTTGTCTGTCCCTTATAGTCCCATTCTCGGTGTTTTTTCGAAATGTTTAACCACCACCAGCTCGTTTGTGCCCTTACCTTTTGTTCACTAATTATATATGTGTTTGTTATTATATGTTTGAACGTTATTATATAATTGAATGTTATTTATAAGTTTGCCCCCCCCCCCTTTTTTTACTGATATGTTCTTTGGGTGCTGTAAAAAATAAATAAATAAATATAAAAAAAAAATAAAAATAACTTTTTTTTATATAAACAATTATTGGCAAATTTAAGGTTTACCGGTTTCCCTATGGCTATGAGGAAACCAGGAAGCCAAGAAGCGACCTGACAGGTGTGTTAGAATACGCTCGTGGATTTGTAATTATCAAGCGCTTAGACCTAAAGTAACGACGTCTCGTCTTCTACGGACTAAAAACATGGAACGCGTTTTGGATGTCACTTTTGTTTAATTTATAAGCCTTTAACTGACCGAACAACGTTATTGTAACTTTAGCATACCAAGCACGTCTTTAATCTTGCGCAAGGTATCTGCGCAGCTATCGTAGTTCGTACAGCCTTGAAGCCGTCAAGCGTGGTCAAGGGTGTGGCAACTTAGAGATTTAAATTTTACCGCCGAATAAGATCGAAACGGGGACTCCTGCCATCTATCGGATCAGTGGTGAGTTACGACGAACGTCTGGGCTGCGATTAAAAAAGACATGTTTAATAGAAGTCGCGGAACACGTAATTTCACTCAAGTGTTATTACAACGTCCATTCAAACCGACCAACCAACCAGTTTCAGCAACCAAGTGCAAGCTTAATAGATAAATATTATAAAATATTACCTATTCCCAGCGCGTGCTTGTTGTGTAGTGGTTATCACATCCGCCTAACACGCGGAAGGTCCCAGGTTCGATCCCTGGCAGGCACAGGCATTTTTTTTTTTTTTTTTTTCCTTTGAGATACAATTTGCTAGAGGCCGTCCTTTGATTTTCTTTTTACGCGACTGCTGCATTTCTTTTGTAGTTTTCCTTTCTTTTGTGAAAATATTTTATTTCATACAAAGCACCTTTAGACATATCTAACAGCTTAGCTTAAAATTGTCGCATTTTATGACTTACCTTGAGATGCCATGTTAGGAAATTTACACACCGCCCTAAGCATAACTGACCACAAGCCACTTTACCTAGGGTCAGATGAGTTACAGGCATGTAGTCATGCAGCATGCGAGTCAGGCTTGGGCTAAAACTACAATGTTATTTCAAGTTTGTGCTACAACTACCATGTCACTACATGTTTGGCTACTACATATACAGCTAGCTTTGCAAAACTGTTGAATTACAAAGCAAACCTTGCAGTAGCCTAGATATAGCCACATGCGGTTCCAAGCAAAAATGCCACACCTACCGTAATATCCCAAAAGCTAGTCACTACTCATGAAGGTAAAATGGGGTGGGAAAACCGGTAGTGTGCAACCAAAAAAATTTTCCCGGGTAGAGTGGCGTCACGAGGGTGAAATTTCTCCGCTAAATTTAGCGGGAAAACTATGCACTCGTGACGTCATTATAGGAAATGCCCCATACTGCAACGCGTGGTTACGCCGCTCAAGCCAGAAACGGACGCCTAAGAGCTGCGCTCTAAAACAAAAGCTGAGAAAAGTGCTGGGTTTGATTTCTCGTCCACTCACACCTTACATCAGCTATTTTGCACAACACCAAAGGATGAGCAAGAATATTTTTATTCAACAAACTTGTAAATCGCCAAAGAAACAGTCGCTAATGACTCTCGGGATATTACAATACCAGGAAAACCATGTCAGAAGTTATCAACTTAGTAATTGATAACTTGTCATAAAACTAATTAAAAGAAAAAAAATACGCTCAATTTTGGTGTTAGAATTTCCACCGTAACCTGCAGCTTCAAATAAAACAAAGAAAACTTTGATATTGTAGCATGGTGGCAAGCTGGGCTAGTTGGTGTAGCACTGTAAAAGGCTAAAAAAACGCACGAAACGACATGGACAGCTTTTACATTGTTATGATATTGTTCTGTGGTTCTGTACGGAAAATAAAAACTATTCACCAAAATATCAAGTTGAATAACGATAGGCTGAAATCTGACATGTCTGCTCCATGCAAAATTATGTTCTCAACAGCACTGTTCTACAGGTCCAGCTTCAATCCTGCTGACTCGCGTAAGGCTGAATGACAGAGTAATTCCTTTAAGGCTTTAAAGAATGCACCCAATTACAAGGAACAACTTTTTTTCGAGAACAATGTGCCTAAAAACTGCCCACATATTGGATAGAATTGGATACAAAACTGAATTCGAGGGCATATTAGATTCACCATTCTTGCGTATAAAAGCTGGGTGTGCGTTAGAATCTAGTAAATACGGTAACTCTGCCAAACGAAGCTGCATAGACGGAAGTTCCGATGACCGGAACCCGCAAAGTTCCAGGAACAGAAATGGCAGTTTCTGCCAAAAATACAGCGTGAATCATCGGGGTCAAAGAGATCACCCAGAGAAACTATGGCTGGTTGAAAGTTGTGCAACCATACATTTACAACACCATTGGAGATGCAGCCTTGACAACACAAATCTACAGAGAGCAGCTACAGTGCGAGCTGCCCCAGCAGCATGCAGAGAGGTTTATTCACGCAGACGCCGCTGCAGTTCTGTAGGTGTCGAAAACGCTGGAGTGGGTGGGAATCCTTATGGCGAAGCCGGCCAGTGCAGAGGATGATGAATGGAGAGGCTGCTGTTTACTTTGTCCAGCTGACCTTGGGGATATCGTAATGCTCTGTCAGGGAGTCCAGGTGTCTGTTGAACTCCTGCAAATAAGCATATTGATTTCTGTGCATCAAAATTCGTGAAGGTATACTGAGATTCGCCTGAAGACTCTGAGCCAGAGTTGTTGCTAAGGCAAGAGGGTATTTCTCTTGGCGGCTGATCCTTTTACTTTCATCCATCGTGTAGAACGAAGAAAACCAACAGTTCGAAAGAACAATAAAAGCTTAGCAAGCACGACTCAAAACTGTGGCTGGGGTATTTAGCGTAGCACTTGCTGGTTGTCCCCTCCGATCTAGTGCCATGCTGAAAATAACTTTTGCATGAGAAACAGTTATAGTGTTTCAGTGGTACTGTACTGGTTAACTTCTTATCTACAGCAGAGACACCAGGTGTCCATTGGGGCTGACTGAGCTCCCACTGCCTAATATATACATGACACCAATGTTATTAGTGTTTGTGTATGTTTGAAACATAAAATCAAATTGTTTTCGAAGAAAGGCTAAATTTCTCTTGCTATGAAATAAACAAGACGGTTCTGGTTGTTCAAATGTGGTGTGTGGTGGTTGATTGCAGCCCGTCTCTGCTGAATAGAAGAAAAACAGCAAGGAGAAAAGCATATCTCATTTTTTCACGATAACAAAGAACATCGGCATAATATTGCCACTTTACGAAACAAAACAATAATCTTTGCTACATCAACAAGTCAAGTGGCCAACGTCGACATTTGCATTAGAAAATCACCACCGCTTTTTTATGCAGTAAATTAAATTCATAAGCTAGCATGCACAGGGGGCTCTCACCTCGACCCTTTGCTTGTGAGTCTTGGATGCTTTCTCCATGATCCTTTCTATTTGCTGCAAAAAAACAAAGTATGATAAGTGAACTAAAGGAATCATTAAGCAACATTTTTACTTGGCTGATTTGTGCTCAGACTAAACTCTTTGCATCCATATTGCATAGAAAAGGCAACAAATGTACTTTACAAATGCTTGTTCCTAAAAAAAAAAAGAAGACTGATGCAACACTTCTTTTTTTACACTGTTTCGTTCTTATGCGAATTGATGTTCACATGTACAGAGCACAGTACAGTTAGCACAAACAAGCATTCACCAGTGTTATTGAAAGGCTGCAATCAAAACTACTACTAAGTAGTACCATTTGGCAGCAGATGCCCCTCAATAAGATTCGCGGCACACTCGCAGCCAGTTGCCTCAATTCTTGACATGTCACCGACTGTAGTGTGGTGTAACCTGTTCCTTCCGGGCAACAAAGTGAGTGGTAAAGTTTGGTGGTGCTCGCCAATAACCAAACTGAGTGAACTGCAAAAATCTGCTGTTGTCACGTTGGTGCCGACTGTGCCGCCCAGTGTATGCGGTTCGTCGAGTGCCACTAAAATAGCCTTCTTCTAAAACCAGAAGGGTCACCATGTGGGCACACAACGCGGACGTGACCTCCCCTTCAGCACCGCTATATACGCAAGCAGCTGGAGAAATCCAAGACGTCTAGGGTCCCGGGCACCCGAGCATCGATCCAGAGCCAATGAGATCACGGCGTTAGTGGATAAGAACTTTGAACTACCAATCAGGAAGAAAGCAACGTTAACGTAACAAGCAGCATCCTGCGTTTCTCAAGCTTTCAGTGACTCTAATGGCTCTTACTGCTTCTTGTTCAGTCGGAAGCATTACTCCCACGTGGTACAATCAACGAAGCGTACGCAGCAGGAAGGAAACAAAAATAGCTGAATTTCCAAATCCAAGCAACACACTTTGAAGCCACCTTGATAAAGGATACAGCACTCCTTTATCCAACAGCCGCTAGATGGACGGTGGCGGCTACACCTTATGTGTCGAAGGGTAGCTTGCGCCTAGTGTCAATTAGAAGTTAGAAAAAGCCTCATCTGGCCAAACCCGAACTTGAACCTCGGCAGGTAGGTAGTGCAAACACTGTGGTCAAAGCGGGTTTGGACTAGAGTGTTGGTCTTGCGAGATTTTATACTTTTGATTTCTATGAAATACTGCGGAAGCGCCCACTTTGTTCAAAACGCCCGCTATTAACGATTCCCCAAACTTCGGAATCTTGTAAATTACACGTTAAGCTCCCGATTTGACCGGACAAGTGCCCATGTCTAAATTAAGCCAGTTTTCACAGAAAGTGGGATGGACGCTTTCTTGGTGTTTTATGGTAGCTGAATATTTCCATTTCTTTTCTTCGTTGGTCTAATTGGGCGTGTTATCGGCGTCATGTTAATGATGTACCTTAAAAGCTTTTAAATCGCGCAAGTGACGCTGCCCATCGTAAGACTGCCTTGTTACAAAAGGGTCTTGGTGCGGCTGAGTACTAATGTATGATTTCATTACCCTCTTCTCCTGCATCTTGAGGAAAGCTTTCTCGGCCTTGGTCCGATGGACTTCTTTGTACAGCGGTTCTGGCTTCTGCTCCCTCTGTTCTTCCGTGGTGGCAGCGGTGCTTATGTGCTCCACCACCTTGTTCAGGTCCTTGCTCTTCTTTTTCCTGAAATATATGTGAGGAGAATGAATTACTAAACAATACTATTTTTTCAAGACTTCACCCTGCAAGGGAAGTTTTTCTGTTTTATTCCAGAAAAACAAAAGTTGCTTCTAAGATAGCCCGCACCCGATGCATGCCTAGTCTGCACGTTAAAAGATTCTCGTACGTGGCACACCTTGACAAATTACTTTTTTACTAGCTCACAAGGAAGCTTGCATCATTTAACACACTCTGTCATTCAATAAATCTGTCACGTCTCGTCATAATGGAAAATCTATAAAAAAAAAAATCCTAGTATAGCGTAGATGGTTGATTATGTCGGTTTCTAATTTACGATAACGGAAGTGGGACATGGAAAACGAGCAAACAACACAGGCTTTCCCTCACAACAGAATGTTTACTGGTTTCACTTCGCCACCCGAAGCTCGGAGGGGGAGCGTCCGGGAGGTAGGGGGGAGGGTGGTGGGCAAGAGAAGCAGGAGTTACATGGCCCTGCAGCCGCTATGCATACAAGAGGGAAGGACCACGGAAGGTGGGGGTCTGCTGTGTGTCATCCAACAGGTCCAGGTTACAAAGACCCCCAGTGCTTGCGGTGCCTTCTTGGAGAAGGAAGGGGAGAAGGGTGGTTAGAACGACAAGAAGAGAAGGAGTAGAAGATAGAGGAATTTCGTCTGTTTTATGCCTTTTGAGGATCCCTCTCGCCTCGCAGGAAGCGAATCTCACAATCCAAAAAAGAAAGGGAAGGGCTGGACAGGTTTGAGACAGAAGATCGAATACGTAGGGACCCGAGGATTTCCCTGCCAAATCGAGATTTCAGCTCTCCCCCCCCCCCCAAAGATTTTGGTTTTTGAGAACTCGGGGATGCACGAGGGGCGGTTTTTGGTGCAAGTCATGAGTGGATGGAAGGAATCCGGAGAAGGAAATGAGATCTCCCTGGAATGCTCACAAGACGGTAATTCACGCAGTGCCCTGTCTGACCGACGTACTGTGCTCCGCACGCAAGTGGAATACTACACCTTCTCCCTCGTGCAGGGCCTGAAGCACTGCGCATGTTTGTTTTTTTGCATAGGGGGGGGGGTTCTGGGTTGGTGACTCGCTTGCACAAGCCTCCCAATTTAAGTTTACATCTGAAGAGAACTCTGCTACCGAATCGATGTGCAAGCGCGCGTGGTCGATGTGCTGTGCTATGGGAGTAAGGAATGCAAGCAGGGCGAGAAGACCGGGGCCCGAAGAGGGCCTCCTTTGGACGGCTCCTAGACTGCAGAATGAGTTCCTTGCTGACGTTATCTAGGAGGTCCACTGGGTAACAAGCCCACCAGAGCCTGGTGGCCTGCAGCGACAGGCTCCCTCTGACCATGCAACGGCAGGACTTTTTGCAAGAGGAGGAAAGGAGAGACTGAACAATTCCGGACTTAACGGTTTTTGAATGATGGCTAGAGAAGAGGAGGACAGATTTCTGGAAGCGCCGTTGAAAAGACCAGCATAGACAGTGAGACAAGTGGGTTAGTCGAGGATCGAGGAATTGGAGGCCCTCCTGAGTGGGGTCTTCTTTTTGAAGGAGAGACCGCAGGCATTACCTTTAAATGCCAGAAGGATGGAAGCATCTGAGATGGAGATAGGATGAAGAATGAGGTAATCGTCAACGTACCGGAATATTTGACAATCAGTGCCCGAACGAGCAAGGGCGAGAGGTTTCCACCAGCATCCCACTTCAGAGATTATGCTTCGAAGGGGAGTGTCTGGCTTCTGCGTTTTTGCCGTGAAGATGGAAAGGTACTGTTTAGAAGGGGCATAAACTTTAGAAGGGGTAGAAACTAACGGTTTTAAAGAAGAGAGGTTGGGATTTTACCTCGGAGCGGAGTGCTTCTGATGGGCAAGCATTTTTTTAGGGGACCGAAGTTCTTTTATAGTGCCTCATCCACTTTTTCCTCGAATTTATCTATGTTCATTATGACGAATCGGCCCACCTTGTCCGCCTCCAAAAGCACCAGACCGGATCGGCGGAGCTTCTCCACGACAGATGTTGCCTCCGAGCGCACCGGTGCAGTTGCGCTACCGTGGTGGCAAACCACGCCGGCTGCCGCCCCGACAAAGTCTGGTCGTTCACTCTCTGGGATTCTCACCACAATTTAATAGACGGAGGCCAGCTGGTTCACTCTTGATTATGGCTCAGGAGACGCAAACTTGGGGCCTTTCAACAGAAGGGCAGTTGCCTCTGCTGACAGCTCAATGTCGGACAAATTGATGGGAGGGATCCAGGCCTGCCTTACAACAGGAGGCAGAACCCGCGAGGTTGCCCTGGAGCATGCGTCTCCATGGTGCCTCCAGGAAGTGGTACGAAGATTCCCGAAGAAAAACGAAGGCGGGTGTGTGTTGAAGCAGGTGCTGAAGCATCCGGTCATCAGAGGGCATAGCCCAGTCCTCATCACAAGGCTTATGAGAAATCTCCTTCCTTGTTATTTGCATAACTCTGTAACTGGAAGGCTAACTTGATGGTTCTAAGCCGAGAAGACGGTGAACTGAGGGATGGGCCATCTTCTCTCGAAGGAAGACTCCCGCGGCCCGCAGGTGCAGGCAAATAAGACTCATCTTTGACAGGAAGGTGATGGCCCGGAAGAACGAGGATGGGTCAAACTCCAGGTGGTTCAGTTGCTTAACAGCAAGTCAGCACATTACATGAAGCTCACGGAAGTATAATAGATGGCTGAGCTTGTTGGTTTCTAATTTACGATAACGAAAGAGGGTCGTGGAAGACGAACAGACGACACAGGCTTTCGACCGCGTAAGATGGATTCCGTCAATATGGTACTCCAAGATCCAAAACGTGAATCGGTTTGGAGTATTTGGTTCCCAACTGTAATCGAACATACTGGAACAGTTAAGCTTCAAGAAGTTCGTATGGAGCGCAGAGAAATGCGTATATTTGCCGAGAAGACTCATGTCAACGACGCAGCCTTTTACAGATGGTACCGGAGGACACATTCGGCCCCCGTATGGACCGTAGGGATCAACACCTCAACTTTTCAGTTAGCTCAGAGATGAATAGCTAGCCTCTCAAAACAAACTCGGTAAACATTGAAAGGTAGAGTCAAGATCAATCAGTGATTGGGAAGATGACATAAGATCATGCTTACTTTTTGATTCCGGAGGTGTTCTTGAATTTAAGACGGGTTTTCGAGACATTATCGTAGGGGGAGGACATGGTCTTGAAGAAAAAAACAACAACAATAAACGTCAGATTCGATCAGAAATAGAAGCTCAACACGCACGACACCAGAAAATTCGATCGCTAGAGCAGCGCAGCAGCGCTAATGAAGAACTGTTTAAGCCAGAGCATCATGAAAGTTGCGAATGTCATGTGTTTATAACATTAAAAGTAACACAATCATAAAATAAACAAATAAATTTAAATTTTGTTGTATAATTCAAAAACAAACTCTAAAAAATACGAGTTCAAATAAAATTAGAAATATAATACTATCGAAGAACGTCGACAAATCGGCTGAATCGACATGTTCGCTCTTGGTGTTCTAATCGGTCGGCTGCTAGATTAGCAGTAGCAGATCTTGAATTCGAACTCAGTCTCCACCGTGAACACAGTAACACTATGACAAGCGTCTAACGACAGTGCCAAAATTTTATCAGGACAAGACTACCTGTGTGCCTGTGTAGCTCAACGTATCTCGTATCGTTATGAAAGCAGTGCTAGGATCATCATGACTCCAGAAGTGCGTGCTTCGTAGCTCGCGCGTTCGTGGATCGTAACGACGTTCAACATGATCTCTGCAGCTCTCGGAGTGCGTAGTGTGCTGTGTAAATACCATATAAAGAAGCTGACGCATACAGCACTTATAAGGTACGTGAAAACCTTCAGGCAAACTTCAAAGTCGTTACGCGCTGCGGCAAGTAATTGTGCTGTATACGCATGTTCAGACTGCCGGAAGTTAGTCTGCCTCAGTGGGCTTACCTCTCCCCTGTAAATGAGAAATTTAGCCAGTACAGTACAACCGCTAGCTTGGACCATCGATGCCCCCCTTCACGTACCGGCTTCTGTTTGCAAATGCGCCTGATAGAGCCATGTGATTGGCAAGGCACCAATAGCAGGCTCATAATTCATGACCTCATCTTGGCCCACCATCGTTGTGCATCTCTGCTGCAGTCTGCCGACAGAGATAGTATATAAGGGCCATGTTATTTTCCATCGAAGCGATGGTAGACGCTGAAGCTTGGCCTCCTCCCAAGAAAGAAACAGAATGCAATCTATATTATTCCCAGAAATCATTTCACCCACTACCGAGAGTCACAGCATGATAACTGTAATTTATCATTAATATAAGGAGGGTGCTGTCTCCCCCCCCCCCCCCCCCCCCCCCCCTCCCCAAAATAAATTGAAGTGTTCTTTTCTTAAACTATGCGCATAACCGAATTCTCAACGCGTCTCTACTGAAATGTAGTGCTAGCAGTCGGGATCGAGTGCCAAAGTTTTAGATTGTGCCGTTAACTGATCTTAAATTCCTGAGGGATTTTTTGAAATTTTCAGTGGGAAAACGACGGCCAACGAAGCTTCAGAATACATGGAGATGAATAGCATAGCTACTGGAAGCTGGCCCCATTTTCTCATGGAAAGTTTGAGGAAATTACTTATAGCTTTTGAATAAGATAATGGTTAGTTCTGAAGCTTTGGCACCTGGTGTAGCAGACAGCCTGCTATTATCATCAAGGACGCCATCAAGCCATGAGCACGGACACGTGCGTCGGTGACTCGAGTGTTCGGAACGAGGTGTCCTGACGGCCGGGCATGCTGAGATTCTGCTTCTTCGTGAATAAATATATTGACCGGCTAAACCAGACTACAACATTGGCGATGCAGACCAAAAACCCCTGCTGACCATCGGCCGCTCCAACGACCGAGGCCTGGTGGACACTAGCAGCCACCGCTTTCATGGCCCTGGGACGTTCGACTCCGACAAGGAAGAGTGGAAGCTCTACCTGAAACGATTCCAAGCTTGTTTGGACGTCGCAAAGATAAATGCCGATGTCGGCAAGAAGAATTTATTAACTTCTTTTGGGTCAACCACGTTTCAGCTGCTGTACCTTGGAATTTCTCCGAGCTAACATATCAAGACCTGATTACACGACTTCAGGATCATTTCGCTCCGAGGAAAATCAAGGAGTTTGAGCGAGCTAAGCTATTTCTGGCGCGTTAAGAGGAATTGGAGAACGTGAAAGACTTCTTGGCAGTCACTCTGCCTCTTTGGGAAGATCCAGGCACACCTTGGCATCACCTTCATGCAGACTTTGCAGAATTGGATCAAAAGTACTACCTCATCGTAATTGATGCTTAAAGCTAATGGCTGGAAGTCATCACGATGACACCCACAAAAGCATCAGCGACCGTGTAGGCCTTTCAAGGGATCTTTCAGTACCATGGTCTGCCAGAACAATTGGTAACCGACAGTAGACTGCAGCTCGTAAGTTCCTAATTTACCGTAAGTCGTGTCTGGCTTTAAACGGCATTGACCATCTTCTCACGCCACCGTATCATCCCAAATGGAATGGTCAGACCAAGAATTTCATGAAGACGTTGAAGACTGCTCTCCGCCGTTCAAAAGGGAAGGACAGCCGTAAGAGCCTGCAAGACTTCTTGATGTGATACCACATTACTCCCCATACCGCCACCATGCAAACTTCTAAACCACCAGCACTACAGGACGGTTCTTGATTTAGTAAAACCATCGGCTAAACCGTCCACATATCCCAGGACCTGTCCAATGAACTTGTGCTCGTTTGAAGCAAATCCAAAAGTCTGGATCAAGCACCCGCTGAGAAAGCAGCACTGGATAAAGGGCGTGATTAAAAAAAGGATTGGCAGTGTAATGTTCGAGGTCCTGAATTAGGACTGTAAAGTTCAACGTGCACATGCTGGCCACCTGAAGGACCGAGCCACATCTGATGTTTCAGATGGCATCCTGTTCTCGGTCAGCACACATCATCTAGAGGAACCTCCCGTGTCTCCAAGGGACCTTCTAACGCCTGCCAGTTCAGGAGGTCCACTGCATGATTTGGAACCCACCCCAAGGTATCTCCAGCGAAGACTCATAGCACCCTAGTAGTTCCAGTCTTTGTGACGGGGGAGGTAGAACACACAGCCTTCTATCATCATCAAGGACGCCATCGAGCCATGAGCATATGGGCTTGCATGTCTTGCGACTCTAGTGTTCGGAACTAGATGTCCCAACGGCTGGACATGCTTAGATTCTGCTTCTCGTAAATAAATATCTTAGCCGATTGAATCAAATTTCAGCACGTGGTTAGACCCACTAGCGCTACGTTTAGGCGGAAACTGAGCATTCGGTGATGCATATAGTTTATTTTTGACGTGAAAAGGACACTGTAGGTTTTTTTTGGAGGACACGCTGCACTTCGATGTTGCCCTATAATGTTGTGTTTTCAAAGACAACCGAAAAATTCGGAAAAACACACGCCGGTAAAAATTTGGTCATTTATATTTAACCAAAAACTCAGAATTTCGAGGTCGCAATGGCACAACAAAAAGCAAAAAAGACGGTATTTGAGGAATAAATTGCTCGAAAGCATAAGGATGGTAACCCAGAGGAGGGGCAACTTCAGTTTTCTCGAAATATTGCACGTTTATCTCATCAAGATGTTTCTTAGAGCAACTGGTCATTGCACTTTTGGGTCAGAACAAAAGCCGTTTTTCTGGTGTCCAGTTTGGAGCATACTATTTGTGCTTCTTAGAAAGAGAAAGGGTTGTGTTTTTATAACAGTGAAAGCTACAAACCTGCTGTAAATTTCATAGTGGGGAGACAGGATAGCTAGAGCTTCCTTGCTCCCCAGCGACTACGTCCTCCAGGCATTGACGTTAATTGAAGCAACACTTCTTTACAAGATTTGTTGTGGGACAGTTAAGTGTTGCCAATGACTAGAGCTCCAACCAATTGCAGCTGCTGACATATCATTCGATACAGGCCAGCTCTTAAATTTAATGCGTGTTTTGTCGGGATATTATTTATTTTTGTTTCAAATACCGAAAGATTAGAAACAGTAAAATTAATTTCCAAATTTAAAAAGTTTGGGAATCTAAAAAGATAAACACCGCTAAACCCTGTATTTTTAGTAAAAAAAAACTCAAAAGCACCTCTGAAGTTAAAGAAAAATAAACTCAGAAAACACGGAATCCTACCGAAAACCAGACTTCAGAAGTAATAGACCTTTTGCTATATTACCCAAGCATCAAGGAGAATGCAGGGATCTGTGTTCCACACGCCGCGTGTGCTGGCGTCGGCAGTAGTAACTGTTCTAAAGCAAACACCTAAAATAAAAGGCAGCTTGCATGCGCGTTCGTCAACCTATATTTTGGTTATTTACTTTGAATCTTTTATATGGGAAGGCTTGCACATGTGGCGCGCGAAACACCAATCCCTGCATTCTCCTTGATGCTTGGGTGATCTAGCAAATGGTCTATTGGTTACAAGTAACAGTTACTTGTAATCTGTTACTTTTTCAAATAATTTTGTAATTGCCAGCAGTGGCATCACTAGCAAGGGGCATCACTAGCAAGGGGGGGGGGGGGGGGGGGGGGGGGTGGGCGGGGCCGGCAGGAGGGTGGATTGCTCTGGGTGCAGCACCGGGTTGCAGTTGGGCTGTTACGGTGGGCCTGAGGAGCAACGAGCGGGTGTGTTGTGACAGGTAAAGAGCCGGGGAAGAGGGTGTCTCTGCAGGCCACCACCCTGGTGGGTGCCACGGATCCTATAGTGACGCCACTGAGTGCCACGTTACTTTTTTGCGGCAATAATTTGTAATGTAATTCCGTTACAAAAAATTTGTCACGGGTTACTTTAGTTACTTGTTACTTTCTTAAGATATGAACATAATACAGAAACTGGAGCAGCATGGGAAGGCAATTCAGCAGTATAACGATAGCGAATTCAACAAAATAGAAAATATTGCAAAGAAGAGGGTAACCGAAAAGAAAACACAATTTTTTGTATGAAACTTTGTCTACAGAATTCCAGGGATTATTTCCCATTGCGTAAGCTAGCGGGATGACAGGTGTGGTTGCAGTCTTTGCTGCCTTGTGAGATTACAGGTGGACGGAGTGCACCAACATTCTTTCTCTTAAATACAATATTTTATTTTTACAAGGACTACTGTAATGGGGGGCGTATGAGAAATGGAAAGTAGTGTTGCAGAACATTTTTAAAAACATCAAAGTTGTTTCTATTGTTTTTATGGCAGAGCTGTTCATGGCTAGTTTCTCCAGGATCGTGTCCGTCAGCAAACAAATGACGACACAGAACTCTGGATAGCTACCGCCATCTATGAGTGATGGGGGCAGCCTTTCCAGCTTTTCCACTCTGGCTTGCCAACTTGCAGCTGGCCATTACTTCATTCCCACCATAGTACAGCTTCGCTGGTCTTCCCTCTTCACCAGAATGGAGCGGCTGAAAGTTTTTTTTTATAAGTATAGGAAAAAGTATTGTGAAGCAATTAGTAACATGACGAGTAAAGTAATTTGTTACTTTTCAGCGAAAACAATTTGTAATGGTAGTCCATGACATTTGAGGCTCGGTAATTTCTAATTGGAATTCATTACATTTTCCAAGTAACGGGCACAAGTCTGCCAGTAACCTAATACGTCAAGCTTGAAGAAGTGCAATCCAAACCCAAACAACACCTAATTCCTATTTTCAGCAATGTCACACTTCGCAACATCTGCCGGAGCAAGGTCTCCGCCGGACTCGCAAGGCTGCCGGCACATGCATTTAAAGGAGCTCGGACATCCACTCAGAGGAGTTCCCTTCACCTCTGGCTACTCGGAGGAGGCTGTTGCATTTCACTGACAACCGCCAAGTGCCTGACGCTTCCGAGGGCGGAGTGCAAAGCGCCCAGGACACGGCTACTGGAGGCCAAGAAGGAATGCCGCGCCCCTTTCGATTGGTCGGCGTTCTTTCGCTTTCTCAAGCCGGATTGGTTGCCTCTGCTTGTCGCCGTCATTGTGAGTTTCCCCAACTGTCTCCCTACCTTGACGTCAAGACAGGGCAGTCGGGATTTCACGTTCTTACATAAATGCTCACATAGGTTATTCATTTGCATCTGTATTCGTTGAACGTTACCAAGAGACACTCACATTGTTCTCATTGATGCCACAACTCCTTTGAAACATTAGCATAATGCTCCATTGCATGAGCCAATCAGTGACTGAAGCCTGATTTGCCTGTAAGATCTAGAGCTGTTATATTTTCACATTAAGATGTTCACTCCTACTCGTCTTTTGTGCTTTGCAATAAGAGTTTGATTCCAAACACCAAGTTTAAAGTGTTTTGCACTATATCCTTTCACTTCTCTATTCTCTCAACAGAGTGCCTTAGCTGTGGCCGCGCTCAACATCAACATCCCTATCTGCCTCGGTGCCGTTGTGAATGTCCTCAGCAAGATCACAAGCAATGTCGCACCACTCAGTGACAGCTCGGAGTTCTTCGAAGAGATTCGGGGGCCCGCCTTTCGTCTGCTCACCATTTTTATCCTGCAGGTGGGTTAAGATGCTTTTCCAAGTTCTTTTGGGTAGCATGTTGTACTCGAAAAGTACGCTATTAGTAAGCGGAGCTCAAATTTTGTACTATGGAAACGGTGCTATGCCCACAAATGGTGAGTGCCAATGCAGCGACGTAGAGCAATTGGTGTGAAAAGTTCTTCAGCAGTAACGCTCACATTTTGATCTACTGTAAACAGCTTTATTTTCGTGGGGTAATGGGTTCTGGAATATCTCGTGGACAGAGAGTTTTGCAATAGGGAGTGCTATGCTTTGTAGGGTAATCATTACTGCGGAATGATGTATTCGTGTGATCAGTTTTTTATATTTTCAAAGTCTCAATATTTGCAAAAGTTAGGTCCTCCCAAAAGTGTTAAGTCGTTTACAATGTATGTTGCGTGTGATTTATTTATTTATTTATTTATTAGAATACCTACATCACCTGAAAAAACATTACAGTACACAAAATATTTCAGTGCAAATAAAAAAAAAACCACAGTGATTGGAAATAAATCTATAAATAATCTCGAACCTTCTGAAAAAAAAAAAAAAAAGCTCAGACAATGTCGTTTTTACAATATTGCTCAGCACTCTATTCCAGTCGTCTATGAACTGCAGAAAAAAAGAGCATTTGTAAACATCTGTTCTGCATTTGAATGAACAAATCTTTTTTTTTAATTCTCTCTCCTTTCTGATAGTACATAGGTGGGCTCAAAAGTATACATGGGCATACAAATAGCATCATTGTTTTAAAAGCAAAAACTTTGTGCAAGAGTTTGAGGTGGAGAAATTTCCTTCTTTGACACGGAGGGTTCCAGTGCAGAACGTAACGAATCTCACAGCAGCACAGTGCTTGCTGAATGAAAAATGCTATATGGCTATGATATGGTTGTCCCTTTTGAGTTGCTGAATGCTGCTAGGGTGTTTTGCCTTATGCTACACCTTGACAAACCCAATATGCAGAGCATCTTCACAAGCATCTACATCTCGACACTGTCGTACACGGGTGAAAGATTTGCGGCTCGGCTGCGCCAGGCCATCTTTGAGTCCGTCCTCAAACAGGACATGGACTTCTTTGACAAGACAAGGACTGGGGAGATCATGAACAGGTATTTTCTCAAAGCCACTGTCCCGCGGCGGCCGACCTGGGTAGTAAGTCCTTATTCTTTAATCCCTTGGCTGCTAATCACGACTGTCGCTTGCCTGCGACAGTCGTGCTGAAAGCTGAGCCATAAGCCTGGCTCACATTTCAGTTTCGGAGCTTTTACTTTGTGCACTCTCCTGCAGGTGGCAGTGCGACCACTATTGCTCTGACCCCTGCAGGCTATTTTGTTGTTTGTTTTGAATTTCATCATAAAAAAAACTTTATTGTCTCAGAAATAAAAAAATAAAAAAAACGCTTGGTGACTGCAACTGCAGAGAAAGGTGGCTTAGCCGCATGGCTTTAACGTGAAAGTCAAATTTGGTGGTTTCAAGTGTCAAACCAACAAAGGGCACCTGGCACATTGGATGACTGAGGATTAATTTGGACTACGCTGGGGATCTTTTGACATGCAACCGAAAGCTCAGCATGCTTTCTCCGTAATAAGCCTCCGTCAGATTGCGGGCACCTCGACCGGGAATCGAACTTCCTACCTGAGGATGGCTTCAACGTGGTGTTCCACCTTAGCTCATGAAGAAACGCAGAAAATTTTACTTGGAAGTGACGAGTGCTCTGCTGTTTGTCACAAGTCTTGCCACATCTCGAAAACTCAGAAACCATATTTAAAATTGGCAGTTTGCACGAAAATTAAAGGAATATTCACACAGACTCCAGATGAACATGTGGAGGCCACGTGAATGCTTCCTTTCACATTTGTGCACATTGTCGATTTTAAATTAAATGTTGTGGTATTTTTTCTATAATTAGTATGCAATACCGTAGGTTAAAACAATGGTGTAGATAATAGTCGAGCAAAGAGACGTGAGTAGGAGGCTTCTTCCTTGGTAAATCTGGATGAAATAACCGGCCACTAAACATTTCTACTGCTTCATTAGCTGGGCTCTAAGGGAACCTTCAGGCTGATAATTTTTCAACTTTAATTAGTATCTGCAAGTGCTTTCTGTCGTCACGCAAGCTTGTGGGTCTTTATTAATTCAGCATTTATCCACTCGGATATGTTTCCACCTTCTTTAGTGTTAATTGGACAGACGCAAGTATCAGTTATCCATGGTGTGCCGTTCTAATTACTAGTTGAGCGTTGCTCTCAACAAAGTTTACAAGAGCATCGCTTAAAATATTGGGAGTCTTTACGCAGTGCTAGTAAATGTTGAATAACAGCCCATGGATCTCCTGTTTCAGTTCAAGTGCCACGTTGGTACAGCGATAACCAGTGTCTTATGCTAAGCAAAATGTTCTAATAGCGTCAATAGCCACACATTACATTGTATGCCATATCCTGCATCTTACTCCACACGTCATTCTCAACACGGAGAGCAATGCTGCTACACAAAGTTTCCTGTCATTTAAAAACGTGTCTTTTCGCATTGTGTTTGAAGCTGGTAATGAGCCTCAGGAGGCCGTTCCCTTTCGCAGCCTGAGCGGAGATGTCCAGGAGTTTAAGAGCGCCTTCAAGCTTTGCATCTCTCAGGGACTTCGCAGCTTTGCCCAGGTTCGTCAAAGCAGTCTCACATTTTTTTTTTTTTTTTTTTTTTTTTCAGTGCTTGTTTGTTGTTTTGGTTTCCCATGCAAAAGCCATTTGAACAGAATACTTTTGGTGCTCTCTCTTCACTGACAGCTTAGCAAATGCAGGGCACGTTGAGTTCAGAGCATCTTGTCATTGGATCGTAGCTGATGGGGTTGTGTCATTGGCTGTTGGTGACTAGGTGGACCAGCTGTGCAATGCAGCTTAGTGGCTATAAAACCCAACTACCACTGCACCGATCCAGGTTCGAGCCTCACTGGTGCTCGAGCTTTATATATAAACTTTACACATGACCTTACCATCGGGCAATGCTCCCGATGTGTCACTTGTTCACGACGCTCATTCACGACGCTCGTCCACGACGCTCGTTAAGGTCAGTTGTTCATGAAGCCCGGTCATGACAACTTTCTCCTAGGAAACAACTCGTAAAACACATTCTGCTTTAATAATTGACCGCTCAATCGTAGCAAGTACTGCACAGCTTCCTAAATATGCCCCATGGGTTTGACCAATGTGGCGTTTACGGTATGTCTTCTGTGTGGTGCACAGTGTTTGGTGGGGAAGTTTCGGCCTGCGTTTCGTGAGACACATTGTCTCACACGAAACCTTTCCCTGGAGGTGACATACGTGGCATGTCACATTTACAGCTAAACAAAAAATTAGGAGTTTTAAAAAAGTAATCTTGGAAACTGCCCCCTGAATGCCAAAGAAACTCTTTATTGCCATTCTCGCGCAGTTTGGGATTCTTTTTATCGTGCGCTTATTGATCACGTCGAGAGGGTGGAACCCAAAGCCGCGAGACTTGTTTTTGGAAGGTGTGGGTATAACGAAATGCATCAGGCCACTCGAGAATTGCCTTCAATTTATGCGGCCACTGTCTTTTCGTAGAAAATGTTTTCGATTAAAACTGATGCTTGACACGGACTAAAATAAAATGGGAATGGACAAAAGTAGATAATTATATCGATCATAATTTATTCACTAAGGTCGGATCCTGCTTTTAAAGTTTGAGAATTCAACCATTGCACCGCTGCTTTCAAGTACTCGTTTTTTCCACATGCATTTGAACGATGAAATCGGCTACTCAGCAATATTGTGTCGATGCTCTCGAACAACTCGATTTTTTGCAAACGAAAATGAAAAATGATTTCTTTCTTGTGTTACGATACATTTTTCCTAGGTAGTCAAGATTATTAATGCTTTTATATTTGTGTGTAAGTGCATCTCTTTGTATACTATATTTTTCTATACTTGTACCTCTGTCACTTTTCTTCAAGAATGCCCTCTGGGCGCTGCTGGTTAAACAAAACAAAACATAAAATGGCTTCACTGCTCATAATTGTTGTTTGGTCGGTCAGCTGTGCAGCATTTTAAGTTTTTCCTTTTCCTTCTTTCTCCTGCAGACGGTAGGCTGTGGGGTTTCCCTCTATTACATTTCGCCCTCGATGACAGCCTGGATGGTCGCCGTGGTGCCCGTGATGATTGCAGCCGGCACCGCCTTCGGGTCTTTCCTTCGAGCACTTTCCCGAGCAGCCCAAGAACAGGTACCGTTCACTTGCACTTATAAAATCAGTCAAAGCCATTGGCACGTGAGCGAAATGCGGCAGATGTTGCGAGATTCCAAAGTTGCGAGCTTTGTGACTCGCTATCCGGCTTCCCGGAGAAGGAGTCGGTAACATGACGAAACAAAGATCTCATACTTCATCTACGCATCCGACCAACGACGGGTTCCACCGCTTATTCTGGAGCGTGCCGAGGTCAACTTTTCTAAAGTTTGCGTCTGCTGCCGCGTGATCAGGATCGGCACTCGTGTCTTCCACTCCTCAATCTGGAGGAGCGTCGATCCGGATGGCACGACGGGGCTCATCTTTGCAGACGGCGAGGGCAGCCGGTGTGGCGGATGAAGCCGTGAGCAACATTCGGACGGTCCGAGCCTTTGCCATGGAAGACGCCGAAGCCAAGTAAGGACAGCTCGAGCGCTGGCTTACGCATTTACAATTTGAGCGTGATGGACCGCAGTGCATCCGCTCGTAGTGCTTGTGACGAGATGGCACACCGGTGCCACCTGTCGAATGGCCCCGGAGCACTTTTGGTTTGCGTATAAACTAGACAGAAGGTTTTGCGGTATTTGTGAGATTGAATCTACGCACTAGTTACGAGAAGTGGGGGGCTCATGACATTGCCAGAATTCTTTCAAGTGCGCGGTGAAAAAATGGTGCGTAAAATATGCGCAAATCGGAAGTGTTTCAGAGACATTCGGCGGATGGCAGCAGGGTGTGCCCTCATTATAAGCGGTATCGAGCGGTTGCAATGCACGTCGATCACAGCGGAACGCAAATGAGGATCTGTTCGATAATCGACGCATTCCAAAGAGGGTTGCGTTCGTTCTGCTGCAGGCTTTTTCACAAGGAGCTGGACAAGGCGGAGCATCTGCACACGGCACTTGGAGTCGGCATAGGCTGCTTTCAAGGACTGACGAACCTGGCCATAAACGGTGCGAGCCCGGGACGGCGCCTTTGTATTTGCGTTTTATTTCTGCCATTTGTCGGGCAGTTGTGCGGGACTCAAGCGTCGTAGACCGCTTTGAAAGGAGGTGTTAACTTAAGGACGGTCCTTTGCACCATGAACCGGTCATGTTTTTCTCACTTCGCAGGCTTGGTGCTGGGTGTGTTGTACATGGGTGGAAACATGATGGAAGAGAACAGCCTTGAACCGGGGCAGCTCATGTCTTTCCTTGTAGCCACCCAGATGATTCAGAGGTAAGTCGTTATGCTTCCGATCAGAAACGAAACCAAAATAAATCACTGGTGTCGCTTAAGTGGCACGAAATATGATAACAGCCGAAATAGTATGTCAAAGTGAAGCCGCATACTCCACTAAAACCGATTTTAAAGATGCAACCAGCCGCTCTTTAGCAGGTGGCAAGCAGGTTAGCTTTTAGTCGAGCAACACTGGGCAACGCGCAGCTCAGCACCACCGTGACGTCACATTAGGTGATATCAGTGTTGTGATTCCTCTCTAGCAGATAGTTTCAGTTTTGCCATAAATGCCCAAAACCAAACCTTGAACTGTGATATTTATAAAACCATGCACAATATCGAGAAAAGAAAAAAAAAATGATAGTACCTTGTAACTTAGGGACACTGACCGAGCTGAAAACAGCTGTAATCCCAAATTTGAAAATATTGACTGGAGTTGCCCATTAAATAAACATGCTCTGCTCATAAAGACTGGCTTCTAGTAGAACTGTCTGAATGCTTGCCAACTGCTATTTTTGTGAGTCAGTACCAGTTATGATTTGGTGTCAGCCCTTTTGGGGCACCCTTTCTTTGTTTCTCTTAAGGTGCAGTTCTGATAAAACTGGGAGTTCTAAAAGATAGAGCAGGAGTGAGTATGTAACATGTGCGGAGATAGGAAGGAACGGCGGGCAAGGTGGTGCTTGGCACCAGAAATGCCAAAGCAAAAAAAAAGGTTTGTTTCGATCTTTGGTGGGTTAACCAGTATCACTGCATTACCTGCTCTAATGTGAGGATTGCTAAACTTTAATCTTGGGTATAATGCAGAATAGCTCGTAGCACTCGGAACAAAAGCTTGCGCTGCAGAATCCAGGCATCCTGGGTTCAATCCCCACCCCTGCCTGATTTGATCTAAATGAGCTTCGTAGCGGCATGCGGTCGTGTATGACTACTGTGTGGTGCCAGTTAAAAACCTAAGGCTAGCTGTGGTATACTGCAGAGGCTTAAATTTTGCCTTTACAATAGAGACACCAGATGTCCGTTGGGGCTGATTAACTTTCCTCTGTCTAAACATACACACAACTTAATTATTATTGCCACGATACACTATAATTATACTGTCTTGTTCTTTTTTTTTTTTTTTTTCAGGTCTCTTAGTCAAATATTTGTGCTGTTCGGCCAGTACGTGCGGGGAATGTCATCCGGAGCGAGGATCTTCGAGGTGACTTTTTTTTGTTTATTTATTTATTTTGTAGGTAATCCACTTCTTTTTTTTTTACATCAATAGCTGATCAGCATGAAAGGTGACGTCTCCATCACCGGCGGGAAACAGCTCGACCTGAAATCTTTGCGGGGAGATATCGAGTTCCACCACGTCTCCTTCGCATACTCCAGTAGACCTAATGAGGTACGGGTACTTCATTAGTGCATTGGCGTTTATTAGCGAATCAGTCGGGTTCCACTTACATTGTTTTTTGTTTCTTGCTGCAGACCGTGATCGACGATGTCACACTCAAACTTCCTGCCGGAAAAATCGTGGCCATATGTGGACCGTCTGGAAGTGGTAAGGAGGCAGGACAGCTTCTAAAGTTTTTTTTTATATTACTTTCTCGAAAATGAATATTATCTTTAAGAGGCACTCAACTAAAACGAATATTTCTTTGAATGTATGAATAGAGCATGCATGTCACAAAATAAACTTTCCCTGCAAAAAAATATAATGCGAGTCATTTTAAGTTTATGATACATGCTTCTGTATTGAATGTCAACCTTGAAATAGAAGCGTGTCACAAGACCAGCAATGAGTCTGGGGACGTAAATGTTATATTAAACATGTTTTTTGAGGAAAGTTTCTCGTGACGTACAGCGAAAAATGGCAGTTAAAAAATTTTTCTGCTTAATTTCGAGCAACAGCAGCCAGTAAATTTTGCCTGTTTGCGCTCTCGGATTGGCTCGACTTTCTTCTTATACGATTGTGCATCTCTATCTAGTTATCCAAAATTGCAATCTATCTACTTATGTTTTTAAAAAAAAAAAATTGTTTTTGTAGGTTATGCACTTTTACACTCTGCCTGTAAAGGTTGCTTCTTTTATAAACACCTGTGCTTTTCTGGGAACTTCAAGGGAGCAAGTGAACTTGATGTTGCTTCTGCAGCCTTCCCACCTACACACCAGTGGTATCACAAAAGAGGGCGGTCCGTGCAGCTCTCGGGGGAGGGGGGGGGGGGGGGGGGGGGGGGGGGGGGGTGTCACGGCGGGCTACGAGAGGGGGAGCGGGAAGGGGGTGTCACGGCGGGCTACCACCCTGGGCGCTGCTGACCCTATTGACGCCACTGCTACAAACGAGTGCCTATTCAGCATCTTGTACACATTGCACTTTTCTGTTTTTAGCACATTTCAATTCAAAGTTTGAAGCGGGGATATTTTTCAGATGAGGGCCTATGCTTAAGATTGTACATGTCGCAGCTTGCAGTATGTGTTCCCCGTGAGCACAGTAACCCCTGCTGCGACCTTAGCGTGAGATTTATTTTCTCATGAAAGCCCCATGTCATAGTCATGCCTGTAAGAAATATTATATGTGATAATTGACTCGAATGAGCTATAGGAAGAACTACAAAAATGGCTGGTTTTTGAGGGATATTTCTGACGATGGTTTTGGTTTTCAGTGTTACTGACACGTGAACATAACCGTGCGGCTGAAGTGTTTTCCAGTGGCTCAGCAAATTTTTTGTTCTGGTTCTTTTGCTGATCCAAGTTGTGACGCTTCCGTCTTCTTCTAGGGAAGTCCACGATAGCCGCCCTCCTGGAAAGGTTCTACGACGTGTCAGAGGGAGTCATAACTCTCGACGGTCACAACATCAAAGACCTGGACCCCAGTTGGCTTCGAAGAAAGGTCATCGGCTTTATCCGACAGGTAATCAGTCAGTCAGTCAGCTCTGCACTGCTAATACGAATTGACTTATAATCCCGGTCATGTGGGAATGCTGCATAAACTTCGGCTGAATGGCGCTTCAGCAGTCGGCAAACCATTGCAAACCACACTCGAAGTCAGGATTGCAATCGGACTCTCTGATTGCTCCAATATTATTTGGCTGGCAAGCTGACAGTAATAGTGATATGCTACTTGGAACATATGGTGATGGATGGAGTTTGTAGTTACTGGTCATTTTTTACTGATGCAATAGAAATGTACATTATGCCTTAAGTTTGGAGATGTCACATTAAAAATTAGTGGTATTGAATGGTGTCATTCTCTACATCAAGAGGTTCATGCCTAGAGCTGTGGTACTAGTAGTAGTATATTATGGTTATGCTTGTTAACTAGATGACCTTTGTTTCATCTCTTATCAACACTATGACCGAGTTAAACAGCTCGAATAGGTGATTAATTGATTAACTAACCCTTTCTAGGAGCCTGTACTGTTTGCAACTAGCATCATGGAGAACATCCGCTACGGGAATCCTGAGGCAACAGACGAGGAGGTGAGAAACCAGACTCGTTTACCTGCATTTTACCATGTGCAAATGTTTTAGAAATTTCAAGTGTAAATATTGTGGTAACGGTGCTGCATAGCATGTGCATACATTTTATGCATTATTTTTGCACTGTGCTTGGAATAGTTCTGGCAATGTTATACAAAAACTAGTGAAGTGAGAATATTTGAAATTTTGAATAGTAGTTCAGAATAATTCATTATTCAATATTTGCTGCGAGAAGAACTGCAATAGTATTTTTCGAAGTGTTGATGCAGCAGGTTAGCCCTGTTGAGTGCACTTCTTACAGAGCACCGGTGCGCTGCGGAGAAGCAACACCCGCAGAAGCGAGCTCCACGGGTGTTGCTTTTCCGCAGCGCACTGGTGCTCTGTGGTGTGTGGTATTTATTTATTGATTTACAATACCTTCAGGGCCGTAAGGTGTTGGAGAGGGGAGTTGGTGTTATGTACAATGACGGAAACTGCGTCTCGAAATTCGATGGCGTCCTGGAGGTTGACAATGTCTTTGAGGTGTGAGGTGCTCTCAACGGGGTAACCCGCCGCGATCAACAGAAAGTCTGAATTTCGCAAGTGTGTCTTTGGGACAAAAGCACACGTGTGCGCGTGCCTGATATATATTTGAAAGACAACAAATTTCATGAATGTTGGTAGCGACATTGCAGTAAAATTTTCAAAGTTAAACTGTCACTGTTATGCAAGAGCACATATTAGGCAGAGATGCCTTGACAACCTGTGTTCATCATTCGTGATTTTTTTTTTTTTGATTCGAGATTGAAGAAAGATTTTTTTGTTTATAGCAAGATTTGTAAATTCACTAAATCTGGTAAAGCTGGGCATCTCTATGGGATTAATTTTATGTCAAATCCGTCGCTTACTTGTGACTCCAAGGCATTGGACTTACTGAGGCCACAGTCCATAAATATAGTTTGATTAAAATTAGCTTATAAATGGACAAGTGGAAGCTGGGGAGCAACCTTCATGACTTTAGCTGGGTGCAACAGAAGTGAAAGGCTTGAAGAAACTATTCGATATTCGAATCCAAATATTCGACCAAAACCACTATTCGCCTTGAATTTACTTCAAACTAAAAAGAAATGCACTATTTGCTCATGGCTACAAACAACTATTTCATCTACAGAGTGAAACAAGGAGACTCCAGGCTCTTTAAATCGACCGGAAAATTCGATTTCTTAACCTATCGCGCTACGACTTTGTGCAGCGTTGCCCACAGATGGTGCATTTTTTTTTTTTTTTTTTGTAAAATTTGCGAAGAGCGAATTTACCTGAGGAAAAAGTAAAGAAAGAAAAAGGCTTAGCTCCTATGGAAACGCAGCGATGCCACCGGTCTGCAAACAACACGGCGCCGTTTCGCACGGGAGACAAGAGATGGCGCAACAAACGCCGCCAACGAACGAGCATACGGCGCCGAGAGCAGGCCTTTTTAGCAGACAATCTTTTCGACTCAAAAGCGGTGCGCGTTCCGCAGGCGGCGACAGTCGCACAGACAAAAAAAGACAGGCGCGGTAACAGCAAGGAACTGCAGTTCCTTGTCTGCAAAAGGGCCGGCTCTCAGCGTCGTCTGCTCGTCCGTTGGCGGCAGTTGGCATCGCGACCGCTTGCGCCATCTCTTGTCTCCCGTGCGAAACGGCGCCATGTTGTTTGCAGGCCGGTGGCGTCGCTGCGTTTCCATAGGAGCTAAGCCTTTTTCTTTCTTTACTTTTTCCTCAGGTAAGTTCGCTCTTCGCAAATTTTACAAAAAAAATGCACCATCTGTGGGCAACGCTGCACAAAGTCGTAGCGCGATAGGTTAAGAAACCGAATTTTCCGGTCGATTTAAAGAGTCTGGCGTCTCCTTGTTTCACCCTGTAGATGGTGCATAGATTTGACCTCGCAAATACTGCAAAACTTTTCGTCTATACTCTGTGGGAGGTAAAGAAAAACGGGACAAGCCCCCCTCACCACAAAGCTCTCTGCTCGCCGTCATCGACGTTCTCCTCCTCTCCACTCGCATCCTCTTCAGCATTCGCCCTGCTAAAGTGGAAAGAGTCGAGGCCTTTGTGGGAGGAGCATATTCTGCTATTCTTAACCGGCAACAGACTATAGTTATACGATGATCGGAAGTGTTCCAGGCCTACCAGACCAGATAGATGGCGCCAGCGTTTTCTCCCATTGTAAGCGGTACAAGCAGTTGTAACACAGTCGATCGCAGTCAAACGCAAATGTGGGAACCTACTTTCAGCCTGCATCACAAAGTAGCAAGCAGTGCAAGCTAAATTAATTTTTCTGCGTGTATGGCCGGAAGGGATTGCTTCTTGGTAGTTCTAGAATATTCGTGTTTACTCTTACCTCGAATGTGTAAGATAAGGAAGCCAACATTATATTGTCGAGTCAATCTCCCGAATGTTCATGCTCAAACAATCTAGGCAGAATGTTAGAGATACCAAGTTTAGTAGATAAGAAGCCCAGCGTGGCCTTGCCGACTCACTTTCGCGCTATCCAGCTGTCATGCCGACACATCGACGCTCGTTCGTTCCTTTGTTTCTGACACAGGGTCTTGAATTGAACCTTTATTTTAATTTTTATGCTCATCGATCCCTCTTCGTCCGCAACAATATACAAATCAAGGCGTTTTCGTGGCCTCATCGATTTGCTCTCCGGCAGGTCTACGAAGCGGCCAGGCAAGCAAACGCCCACGACTTCATCACCTCCTTCCCTAAGCAGTACGACACCGTGCTGGGGGAGCGGGGCGTCACCGTCTCCGGCGGACAGAAGCAGCGGATAGCGATCGCTCGCGCTCTCGTGAAGAACCCGCACGTCTTGATACTCGACGAGGCAACGAGGTAATGCCTGAAACACGTTCTCGACTCGTGCGTCTAGCATCTTGTGCTGCCCACGCATCGGGAGTGGTCCCGTCGCGCCCAAATTCGTGGCTGCTAAAGCTTCCGGGGACTGTCGAGCTGCAGAGCGACCTACGGCAGAGCAGTTGTCTGCCGTGGCCCCCTCTGCTGCTGTGCCGCTCCCAGGATCGAAGTAGGCAACGGCACTATTAGTTCTGCAACATCATCGGGTGGAAATCGAGGCACCATTAATGGGAATGCAGTAAACGCCCTAGCTGAAGAAGCATTCCAGGCAGTATATTTGAAGTGCCGGTCAGCGGTTTTATGCTAGAGACAGTTGAGCTTCAGCCTAAATGATAGTGAGTGTGTGTGTATTTTTTTTTTTCTTACCGTGAATAGGCCGATCTTACCAGCCAGTTTGACTATGTCACCGCTGACACAATGCATTGAGGGAACTTCAGTCTTTCTGCACGTGCGACAACCTCGCTGGAGCTCTGCGCGTGTGGAGCATGAGACAGTAGGAGCCCTCTCGTGCACTGCCCTTTGCCTCCTGTGAACTAGAGTTATGGCAGCGGCACGCATTCGCCAAACGTTTGGTGAGATTGGTCAATTGAAAGTTGAGATACACTTAGTATGACACCTTTGAGTTTGTCGAAACTCTTCTCTTTATCTTTTTGGTTTCGGGAGAGGGATGCAGAGGGAGCCTTTGGTTCTTCAGGAATGGTCCACTGAAGTAGTAAGAGCCCTGTCTGCGAGTTCCCTGAGATCTGTGGTGGCCTTTAATAACAAGGCTGTGCACAGAAACCAATGCGTTGTTTATGGGTTCCTTGTTTTGAACGGGAGGTGTTTTAGAAACAATGCTGTGACCTACTTTAGTTTTTAGCCTTTGATCTCGTACCACAAAGTTTTTTACCGAACGCTGGCCAAACTTTTCCTAGGAAAACTTTGTATCTCACAAAAAAGAAAAAAAAAATTGTTTTATTTTTGTATTCACTGTCAAAAAGCCAAGTTATTGAGGTACACAGCATGTTGGATAATTGACTGGATGAACCACAAGTAAAGATGGCCAAAATTTGTTTATTATTTAAATTAGGACAAGAATGTGACACTTCTTTTTGTAAAGTGAGTTACACTAGCCGAGGGTGAGCAGTTTCGCGTGGCTCCCAAAGAGCCGTGCTGCGCATGCGCGAGGAGCAGTGACGTCACACGGCGCACAGCTGGCCCTCATTGGTCTGCGCATTCCAGAGGAGTGACGTCATAGCCGCGGCAGAGGCACTGGCGCCGCCGCGTGCCGAGCTGCGGGCCTCCGTTGCGCAGATGCCAAGTCTGACGCTGCACCAGAGCCGCTTGATAGTGCCTCTCATCTTATGCGCATACGCTCACGCTGCGTGTATCCTGGCATAGCCGAGCTAATCCACCGTTTAATTTTTTTTATCTTTGTACAGTGCCCTGGACACAGCCTCTGAGCAGGTTGTCCAAGCGACTCTGGACAAAGTAAGCCAAGGTAAGTGGTCAGCCTGGGCATGAACGGTGGATTGCCCAGATCAAAGTACTTGTGTTTCAGGACGAACGGTACTGGTGATAGCGCACAGGCTGTCGACCATCAGGAACGCCGACATCATCGCAGTTCTGCTCGACGGAAACATTGTGGAGGTACGGGCGAGAAACTGGTTCATTGGGCTAGTTTAAAGGCATTGTGGTAACTTGTCTATTTATGAAGGTTAAACTGTAAAGAGAGGAAAACTATGGTGATTTACAGCTTTAAATCTAGATTTCTGAAGTTATTGCTTCACTTGTTTACTGGATCACTATTAAGAATGAGGTTGGGACCATCTTATTGCCTTTGCTCAACAAATCTGTGTTGCAGTCAGTACAACAGCACGTCCCCCCCTCCCCTCCCCCCGCTCCCCAATTGATGCATTCTGTTACCAAGCAAACTGTTTTATTTTTCTGCTCTGCTCTGTATAGACTGCAGCAACAATCAGTAAGCAGGTTATCTGTTGCCAAGAAATGCTCGTTTCTTGTTCCTTCCTTTAAAAAGGTTCGACGGCGTGGGGAAGGGGGGGGGGGGGGTGAGAGAGAGGGAAGGATCCTCATAAATACAGTTTCTGCAGAAACTAACTCCTATTCCATGGTTTATGAGCATTCAGTGTTTTTGTTACAAGTGCTCTAGTAGTTCGCTAAAGTGAAAGAAAAAAGTTTCCTGGTCCCTTTAAAGTGCTCCCCGATTGGCCCCTAATTAAAAATCTTGTTGTCACACTTATCAGATATCAAATAAATTCATGTTTGGTAATTGTTTTTTTTTTTTTTTTTCTCTTTTCGTTTTTTGCATCTAGATTGGTGATCACAAGTCCCTCAGCCGTCTCAAGGGTGTCTACTGGAAACTGACACACCACCACGACCACGCTAGCGCTAGCGCGGCAGCGTGATCGGCCGCAACACTGGACATACGACCAGAGACGACACTCTCAAATGCTCGCCTGCATAGCGGCAGCTTACTCAAATACAGCGTTAAGTACTTAGTACATCGCTCGCTCAATTTCGCCGCGATGGCTACTTCGCTAAACTCTCCACGACGAGCAAGAATTGACCTAATTGACTGCTCGTTAACTTACCTATGCGCAATGAATCTTTTTACACCCTCGACGGTGGGGATCACTTTCCCGAGGTAGCTGCACTGTTATAACACCCTAAGAGTGTTACAGCAACTCCCCTGGGGTTCTGGCGATCACCCTAAAGGTATAGTGTGATGGCGACCTTAAAAGCACCCTGAAGGTATTTTTTTACGTGCAACGTAGTACACAGCGCGACATTGTTAACGCGAGCGAGCAATCCCCAGCTGTTGTTTTTTCTTTTCCTCATAAAATCGGAACAGCCGCCGTAAGACTACTATAGTCCCTGACAGTATAAGAAGCACAGGGCGTGGCCTATCATGATTGAGCTTCGTGATTGACTGTTCGGCATTCTTACCGCATAATACCCTAACGGGATTGGCTGTTGTGTGACAATGAGATGCCCTGGATTTAAGCTGTCGGAGGCTGTGGTGGAAAGTCCTCGCTTAGGGCATTGACTTAAGCTGTAAGGTCAATCGTGTTCGCGCTAACAGTGTCGCGCAGTTTACAAGCATCACGCACTGGGGTACGGTTGAATGGAGTAATGAACTTTATTAGATATACACTTGCACAGAAGCCATAAATCTGGACGCCGCGAAACACGCGAAAGACCGAAATCACACCCGTGCTGACTACTTCACTGCCTTATTTAGTAGACGATGGTTCAAAGACATTCGCGTGTCAGCGCATCCCCATTGCGAAGGTTAGAAGTGTATTGTATCTTGAAGTTCAAGGATTACGTCTACAAGTCAAAAACATTTCTATAGAGGCAATAATTTTTTTTAATATAGTGGCTAAAACACCCTCTAAGCTGTTTGAAGTTGGTGTAAGGTTACACCGTCTTCTGCAGTAGCGTCTTTTCTCACGCCATTTTTGCGCCTTTGATAAACGAAAGGTGGTTCGTGGAACAACACCCTATTTTACGATTAAAAAGGGCGTAATACTCGGAATAAAAATGCAGAAATGCTGTGGCCATGGGTGTGTTTCTAGGACACATTTTTATACCCTTGAGGGTGTAAAAGAGTGTAGTTTATAGCCAGAAGTCATCCCTGAAGCTAAAACCGGAGACCGACGCAACTAAAAAGACGGTAACACAGAAGTCCAAAGTCTTGAGACTGTAGAGACAGAGACCTCTGCCTCGAAACAAATCTTGAGGGGCATTTTCAGGTAAGATGGAACAAGCGAGCGCAGCTCTTAGGCGCTCGTTCCCCTGTTTCGTGGCGCGACGCCACGAAACACTGCGTAGCCGCGCGCGTTGTATTATAGGGCATCACAGACCTATACACCAGTTCAATTCCTCGCTAAATTTAGCGAAGAAACTGAACTGGTGTGTAGGTCTGTGACGTCGCATAATGCCACACTGTGCATTCAGTTTTCCCGCTAAATTTCGCGGTAAAACTGACGTCACATGACCTCAACACCAATTCAGTTTCCCCGCTAAATTTAGCGGGGGAATTGAATTGGTGTTGAGGTCACGTGACGTCAATTTTCCCGCTAAATCAAGCGGATAGATTGAATTTGTTCATTGGTGACGTGACACGAATTCATGTGACGTCATTATCCGGCCAAATTTAGCGGGAAAACTGAATTGGTGTTGAGGCCACGTGGCGTCAATTTTCCAGCTAAATTTAGCAGGGAAGCTGGGAGGAGGGGAGCTTATAAAAGGAAGGGAGGAGGAGGAGGACACGGAAGAGGAGCAGGGGAGGATACGGAGGAAGGGAGGGTATGCAGGAGGAGGACGGGAGAGTACGGACAAGGAGGGGAGGGTATGGAGTACCTCCTCTCCTCAAGAGCTGCGCTCTAATTTCGCACTGCAGATTTGTAAACATTTTTTTCAATTTTTTAGTTCAATTGATATTTTATATGTCGTTGACTAACGTATAAAATAAACGAATTCCTAAATATCTGTGTTCAGAAAACAAATTTCACAACACAAAAAAAAATCGTAGGTCACGAAGAGATAGACACTCGCATTTACGTGCACCGCCAGAGTCTCCATGTTTGGCATTTGTTCGAATGAGGCCAGTCGTAGCTAAAGAAATAGTTGATATATTAAGAGTGGCTCGGCAACCGTACCGTACAAATACTTGATAGTTGCATCGTTTCATATTTGTGGGGGGAGAATATTCAGTTGAAATTTCACGTCCGTGATTTATATCTCGTAAGATAAAGGTCTCCAAAGTTTCCAGAGCATCGCGCAAGGTACGTTGTTTGGAAGTTCTGAGAATGCACCCATACAATGTGTTTAGAGGTGTGCGAATATTCTAAAAATTGGCTAATAGTGTTTGCTATTCGATTCGTATTGCAACCCGCTTTTTCTGTTCCAAGTATTCAAGAATTTTTTTTTTTTTTTCGGAATATACGAATAAATATGTCTTTAGAAATTTTCGATTTCTCACGTTGAGCTTCGCACCAACGCTCTGGCGTCAAGCTTCACTGTTTTGCGCCGAGGTGCCAGGACAAACTGCTGACATGTCGGGGAATTTCGGTTCGTTTGACCTCAGGATTACTTCAATGGTCTTGAAAATTGTACCATTAATATTAGGTCAGCCTTTTTTGTTGTTGTAATTATAGTTGCATTATGTTTACCCAGCTCGTATTGCGTTTCTTTTTTTGCTTAATACAAGTATGTGAAATGTTTCTCATGTTTTATTTTAAATGTTTTATTTTGATTCGCAGTCAAATATTAACCTTACTCGATTTGAAATAAAAAAATGCGATATTCGCACGCGTCTAATTGTGCTTAAAAACCATTAGACATTCTAATATTGTCACTTCATAGTATTAAACATGATCGCACCAGTATTGTGCCTAAATCTGAGTTTCCACCTCTTCATAATTCACGACTACGACTTTTTTTTATTGCTAAACTAAGATACAGTACTTCTTTTTTTTTTTGGGGGGGGGGGGGGTGCTAATATTCGCGACTCGTTTATACCATACATGAAGCAATAAGATTAATGAAGTTAATTAAAAATGTCGACCAGCCACTCTTTGTTCAATCTTATCTTTAGACAAGAAGAGTCTCGATCCTTGTCTCGAGATCTAAATGCGCTCCTTTCGATGTCCTCAATGAAAACCCTAAAACTTTAGCACCAGAATAGACGATATGCGAAATGTAAAACGCCATCTGGTAGCGCGCCGAGAGCTACGTCCGCCATCTTGGTAGCGGCGAAAAACCGAAACCGTGTGACAGAACCGGCCGAGAACTCGTGTAAACGAGCGACCGCGCTTCGTGCGAGAGATGCGATGCCAACGCCAGTACTGCGTTCTGGTGCGGAAGCGGCGATGTACCTTCGATTCATGTGTGACGTGAACGCAAATGTGAACAGGATAGTTTTACCGGATTTGTTTCTGAACGGTTACAGCGGAGCTGTTAAGGGCTAGTTTCCCCAGGACCGTGTCCGGTACCAAACAAATGTCGACCCCCGCGGCCGACACAACACTGGTTGCCGCCGTCGCTCATAGATGGCGGTAGGTGTCCAGAGTTGTGTTCGCCGGTTGTCTGCTTGCCGTCATTTCTTCGGAGGAAAAAGAGCGGGAACGGAACGTGCGGCGATGTGCGCAGCAGCGCGAATGGTTCCGCAACCGCCGCGAGGCCGTTATCGCCTAAAGTTCCACTGCACCGAGCGCTTCAGATTCTCTTGCGAAAGACAGATCGCTCGTCTGGAAAGCCACCGCCGAGAACAGAAGCTGCAGCTCCTCTTCTCTTCCTTCTTCACCAGAATAAAAAGCTAAAATTGTTTTTAGGGGCGAAGCTCCTTAGGGGCTAGCCATGTCCGTATGTCCGTCCGCCGTCCGGCGTGCCCCTGCTCGTGAGTTCAGCAGCGAGAGCAATAAAAAAAAAAGGAAAAAAATACGTCCGGCGTGCCCCTGCTCGTTAGTTCAGCAGCGAGAGCAAGAAAAAAACATGAAAAAAAAGATGGAAAAAAAAAGAAGAAAAAAAAAATAGGGGGCTCTGAGATGCCATCCCATGTCTTCTTAAAAAAAGAAAAAGAAGAAAACCGCACATTCTTCTACTGCCATGAATGAAAACGGCACCATCAGCATTACCTATGACCAAAATCAGTATCAACAGAAAGGAGAAAAAAAAAGAGTAGGGGGTTCTGAATTGCCATCCCAACTGTCTTCTTACAAAAAGAAAAAGAAGAAAACCACACATTCTTCTACTGACATGAATGAAAATGGCACCGTCAGCACTACCTATGACCAAAATCAGTATCAAGAAAAAGAAAAAAAAAGAGTAGAGGGTTCTGAGTTGCCATCCCATCTGTCTTCTTACAAAAAGAAAAAGAAGAAAACCACACATTCTTCTACTGACATGAATGAAAACGTCACCATCAGGTATAAGGTTTAAAAGGGCAAACAGACAGGGATAATAGAAAATAACACAAACGACAGGGACAAGGCGCTGTACTATTCTGTTCCGCACGAAGGATTAATGAACGCTGTGAGGAACAGGATCACTGAATCGGGGGAGGCAGTGTTTCAGAATTCTGCAGGTATCAGTAGTGAACATTTTTTAGAGCTTTTAGAATTTTATCTGGGTTCTACTGCTGTTAACGTCAGTGGGCAGTTTTTTATACAAAAATCTGGTGTTTGTATTGGTTCGTCCGTTGCCCCTGTTTTATGTGACATTTTTTTAGCATCGTTGGACGAGTGGATCTCTGAAGGTCTTGCGCAATTACATATAGTAAAGCCGTTTAGGTATGTTGAAGATTTCCTTGTAATTTTAAATACTGATACTAATTTGGATGAAGTTGTTGTGAAAGTTGTTAGAGCCTTCACAGAGGCATCAGGAGGTCTGAAGTTCACTTGGGAGATGCCAGATGACAAGCGCATCCAATTCTTAGATCTTATGATAAATTTTTTTAGAGACCATTTTCGTTGGATGTATACATGAACTCATCTCT